TAATATAATATGTAATAATAAAAACAAAAAAAAAAATTACGCGAGCGGTGCGCGTCCCGTATATACGACACGATGACGACAGATGATAACGCCATGGCGGACGGCGGAACGATGATATTATTAGCGAAACATAAAATGTTAAAAATTATAAGCTATTTGTTTATTTATATTTAAACACAAACACATAATTATAATACCATAATATTATATATTATATAAATCATAAAAATATGTAAGAAACYATATTATAATATAATATGTAATTTAAAAATAATTATAACGTTTTTTCGATAATTTTACTGTCGTAATATTTCGTAATATTCGTAATTATTAAATGTACGTATTTTAATAAAACATCTTGTGTTACCGACTATGCATAAATCATAAAAATTTAAATTTTTGCGCCCAACGGATAGGCCAATACGACGTGACGGTTGTGTTGTTTATTAATTTTTTTGTAGGTACCTATCGTGCTGGACGGTAATAATTATTATGTTTTGCTACCCGGCGAGCGATGTCAATGCATGACGGCAYGGCAGAGGCCATGGGTGGGATGAGGATGACGAATGGAGCGAGTGCACGAAAATAATATAATACTGAAACGAGTTGAGCGAGTCGTCCACGATCGTCCGCGTGTAATTCAATACGGACTGTCGGTAAGTGTCGACGGACGTTGGGAAAATGGGAACGCTGGGACGCACTATGACGTAATGATTACCGAATGTATAACAATAATAATAATAATAATAATAGTGATAATATGGATGTGTATTTAAGTCACAGCTGCAGGCAGCAGGTACACATAATAGTAATAATAATATATTGCCGTCACAGTGGATGTTTGCGTTTGTATAGGTTTTTTTTTTCTAYCGCAGACTTGTACACTGTAGTATACGCATGATGATTGGTCTGTAAGACAAACATGTCCATCCAGTTTTTTAATGATAAAGCTGCAGTTGTTCAGTCTTTATTTTCGGAAATATTTAGATTGTTTTTGTCCCGTTGAAATATTCAAACAGGAATGTGGCGCGTGTCGTAGACTCGAACAAGCGGCACACACTTCTGTTAACCCCGTGTTTTACTTGAAATTATTCGGCGTATATATATTTTTTTTTTTGAGAATTTTTGAGAAATCGAATTCGAAATTCAAACCAGTAAGTTAGTTTCTGAATCCCAATGCTGCATACATTATGTACTTATAGGATGGTAGGTTTGGAAAATATGTGGGTCATGATGATCTGAAAATTATAACTGCATTAATACATCAACATTTTATAATTTTTAAAAATCATTCAAGTAGGTATAATAAAATAGGTACCTACTATGCCATACTATATGTCTAGATACAATACAATATTATAGTTATATATGTATTGATGAATGATATTCGTGTAAGTTCATTATTATTATGGTCTACCCAGTGGCGCCCAGACAGATTAGCAAGGAATGCAACTGTATGTGTTCTCGTGGGGGGGGTGTGCTATTGCAAGTTTCACAGGGAAATTAAAAAATGTATTACCTAAACTATAGTCTATACTAATTGATTTCTTTGAATTACAGTAAATATAATAAGTGAAAATATTTGTTATAAATAAAAAATTGSGTGGATGGGTGGCTAATTCTTTTTAACTGCATGTGCTCTTAAAATACCTCTGTGCGCCACTGGGTCTACCTATGGAATATTATCCGTGTGGTAGGTAAGTACCTACCTAATATGTGCATTAAAATTATCATTCTACGAATTTTGATTTAGATTTACATCCACATTTTCAAAAAAATATGTACAGAATAGTTTTAAGTAAAAAGGGGATTCTCGAAGCAATAGATACTTTCAGTGACGTATATGGGCTGCAACCCCTCCCGAAATTACAGTCTTAACTGTTAACTATATTGTTAGTCTCTATAGGTGCTATAGATAATTATTCTTAGTCGTTATATTATATTAGGTTATATAGCCCACCCCAAAAATTATTTCTATATACGCTACTGGATACTTTATACTAATATAATGGATATACCTATTTTATTATCGATTTTCAGCTTACTATAAATAGGCACCAAATTATATATAATATCTACCCTACCACCTGAACCACCCAACTATATTTATCGAGTCACACAAATCRAAAAATCTCTGCCTTGGTTGTACAGTTGTACATACTATACAGCACATGTCCACCCGTTTAACTATATATCATTAATAATTATTCATTGATATACCTATGCACATATTGAATGTATATATGTATGCATGTACGTGACACGCGCGTTACTCTTTTTACCTACCTTCGGGATGTCCAACGGCGCCCGCAGGGAGGGACCAAAGGTGTCATTGTCCCTGCTGGAAATTTTTAATACTATAATTAATTTAATGCCACGCATATTAATTACGACACAATTCTATTCAGATCCATTTATGAAGTTCTATGCAGGTAATACTATCTTAGAATGAAGACACTAAAAATATATTAAAATTTAAAATAACCTTTTTGATTTTACTTCTGATCTTGTGCTGGGTGGAATTTTATCCTACGGAGGTGCTTGAGGATGTCCAGMAAAGGTTATCGCTAATACTTATGATACTTCCTTAAGGCTCGCCGGAAGGCTAACTGTTGCTGGTCGATATTAGATGAAAATTATCGAACAATCGAACTTCTAAAACAAGTACTATTACTACTATTGCATTAAAGTAAATCAATAACTCGGCTAGCTAGTAGACCACTACAAATTTTAACACTATTAGAACACTAAAACCATACTTAACGTTTATACATTTTTCCCTAGTTGCGACTTGCGAGTAATAAACTCCATACAAAAACACATCGAAATATTAAGTTCAGACTATGTATATAGGATTTTAGTTTGAAAGTTGAAGGTGTGCTTGTAAGTTGTATTTGATTGATTTTAACTATAAGAAACTTAAATATCTGAAGAACGGTTTGAATAATAGGGTTTGTGGTGTAAATAGGTAACCATCCATATTTTATTTGAGTAACARAAATTCAAAATAACAAAGAATTTCACTTTTTGTTTAAATTTYTAGTTTTGTCAAAATTTTGTTGAAATTCAAATATCGATATAACAAATTATTGGGCATATGTGCTTATGATATTTTTATTTTTATCTTGCTATTTCGAAATATTGGATGATTCGTTCATTTGGAATAACCCCGTGTAACAATATACTTTCGAATACTGTCATAATTTAAGTTTTTGATTAGGAGATAGGAAGTTTAGACAACCTACATTATTATTACTGAAAAAAAAAACACTCAATAATTATAGTAAATACCTACTATTAGATAGCTATTTTGAATACATTTATGCTTAGTAGTATACTTTCAGTTTCAAAATTATTGTATGATTATTGATTAATAGGCAGTGCAGCTTCAGGGCAAATTAAAATATGCCACTCTTCAGAAAATTATAATTATATATTTTTTATTCTGTTGATCCTCAACAATTTGCCACCACCCACCTTAAACGCGGCTCTGTTAATAGGAATAAATGAACAATTAAGATAGTTATTTTATGTGTTATCTATTAATGAACAATATCAAATATGAACTAAAATAAATTGTTACCATAATAATATGTTACTATGGTGTAGATATAGTATATTATTCAATCGCATTCATCATAGTACATCGTTCATAGAATTTTATGTCATCATGTGAATTATTTCTATTTGTTCATTGTTGATTAAAGAACAAAATTATTATTAATTAATCATTAAACAAGACCAGGTTAAATTTTGCTATCTTGGCCACAACTAGATATTCTGATAGATAGAAAAATATAAYTAAGTATATCCAATTCAGTGATCATTATAAAAATTATAGAAATTTACCTAAACCATTCACTTTTTAGATAAGTTTTCATATTTTTCTATAATTAGTTTATGAACCTATTTATAATAAAATATAATAATCATTTTAAATATATTCAAGCTTAAATGATGTGGGAATAAGTATAATTATGGACTTAATGGTATTATAATGTAGATTTTATAGTTT